CCCCTTTTGTTTGTTTGGTTTTTGTTTTGTTTTGAGACAGGGTTTCTCTGTAGCTTTGGAGCCTGCCCTGGAACTCGCTCTGTAGAACAGGCTGGCCTCAAACTCAAAAAGATCCACCTGTTTCTTCCTCCCGAGTCCGAGTGCTGGGATTAAGTGCGCCACCGCTGCCTGGCTTCCCCCAAGATAGTAACAGGTTCTTTCATGGGTAAGGAGATAAGTGCTTATGCAAATATTAGTACTAGGGTATGTGTAATAGGATCAGGACATAGAGCAGGATGCAAGTGTGGCAACTTCCAAACAGGATGCCCTGAAGCAGAGGAGTCTCGGGGATATTTGGGGGGGAAGAGTCTCCCAGACAGAGGGAACGGCCCAAAGGCCCAGAGGCGGAAGTGCATCTGGACAGCTAGAAGGAAATCACCCTGCTGCCTTTGTGTAGGCTCTGGATGTTGTTCAACGTGAGATGAAATGAGAAGCCATTGCAGCTGGGCAGAGGCGGAGGCAGGCGGATCTCCATGAGTTCTTGGCCATCCTGGTCGCCAGAGCTGTTACACCTAGAAACCCTGTCTCAAGAAACAAACAACAACAACAACCAAAAAGAAGCCTTTTCAGGGTTAGGGTTTGGACCCTTTCTTAGGGACCGAGGTGTCTCTCTCATTCAGCCCCTAGAAGACTTGCAGACACGGGAGGTCACATGGAGGCCCTGGGGTACGGGCCACAGACATCCTGGGATCACCTGTTTATCTCCCTAAACCCTCTGGTTTGCAGGGCTAATCCCACTGTGTCCTCCCCAGGGAGGGAGCAAAGGGAAGGGTGGAAGGACTCTGAAGACAGCCTGTGTTTTTAAGGATTTCTGCCTCTCTCTGGTCCTTTGCCTCCTCCTGCCTCTTTTTGTGGGTATCCTCTGGCCTCCTCTACATCCCTACCCAGGGTTTGCCTTCTCTGTCCTTGTCAGCTCTCCGGTTGCGTATCCCAGGGCTCTTCTGTGTGTTGAGCCATCTCTTGGCTCATAGAAGCCTTTCCATAGTGTATCCATTCCCGAACTGGGACCTGTATGATAGGATCGGAGAGAAGGCAGGGGAAGGGAAGGGGCAGGCTCGAGCCTGGGTTTCCCAGGGAACACCAACGCCTCAAGGCTCTGGAAAGCGGGGCACCTTCAAGGACTCCCTTCCCACCAGCTTTTTCCTGCCTGGCCAGCTCTGACTTCACCCCTTTTGTCATGCCCCGAAGGGTGCCCAGCGGCCCAGTCCTGGCCACAATACTCTTCCTCTGTGCATTTTCTTTTCTTTTTACATCTCCACCTCACAGCTGTAAGGGGGGAAGGAAAGGGGGGGAGACCCGGATCCTCACAGCTGTAAGGGGGGGAGACCCGGATCCTCACAGCTGTAAGTGGGGAAGACCCGGATCTTTCCTTATTTACCCACATTCCCAGTCCTTTTTTTGTTACTGTTTTTTATTTTTTCCCGAGACAGGGTTTCTCTGTATAGCCCTAGCTGTCCTGGAACTCACTCTGCAGACCAGGCTGTCCTTAAACTCAGGGAGATCCTCCTACCTCTGTCTCCCTAGTGCTGGGATTAAAGGTGTGTGAGCCACCATTGTCCAGCATTTTTTTTTTTGGCAGCATTTTTTTTTAATCTAGGCAGTTTTAATAAACATGGAAGGCTAGCCTGGAATTTACTGTAATCCTCCTGCCTCAGCCCCCTGAGTGCTGAAATTACTTGTGTGAGGCACCATACCTGGCTGTTTGGGTTGTTTGTGTCTGTTCTTGATGTTTTGTTACGTGTTTTGGTTTTTGTTTTTTTTTGGGGGGGGTGCATTAATTTTAGGGGTGGGAACATACCTGACACAGCACCCTGTAGAGGTCAGCGGTCACAAGCCGGTCATCCAGCCAGGCTGCAGTCCCCTTTCCCACTGAGCCATCTCGGTGGCCCAAATCTGGTTTGGGTTTGTTTAAGATTTATTTATTTATTTTTTCTAGGCGATGGTGGCACAACCCTTTAATCCCAGCACTTGGGAGACAGAGGCAGTCAGATCTTTAAGTTTGAGACCAGCGAGTTGCAGGATTGCCAAGGCTACACAGAGAAACCCCTCTCTCGAAAAACAAACAAATACTTATGTATTTTATGTGTCTGAGTGTTTTTCTACTTGTATGTGTATATGCACTACATGCATGCCTGGAGCCTGCAGAGGGCCTCAGTCGTGTTTTCTCTGGAACTACAGATGGTTGCGAGAGGCCTGACTGAACCAGGTCCTCTGGAAGAGCGTCCAGTGCTGTTAACTACTGAGCCATTGTTTTGTTTGATGTCATTTGAATGGAAAAAAAAAAAATCAAGCTGTAAAAGAAAGTCGAATCCCTAACTGGAACGGGGTGGGGGGTGGACACAACGAACTTTGGGGTGCTTAAGAGCAGCTGCACTCGGATCTGCTCCCTGCGCCCTCCCTCCCTGGGGTGCTTTAGTAATGAACTTGCTTCCTCTCCCCTCTCTTCCCACCCTCAGCTCAAGATCTCCTTCAGTGAGACGGCCCTGGAGACCACGTACCAATACCCTTCCGAGAGCTCGGTACTGGAGGATCTTGGCCCGGAGCCTGAGACCCCCAGTGCGCCCACTCCCTTGGCGTCACAGCCTGACGACGACGACGAGGAGGAGGAAGAGGAGTTGCTACTGCAGCCTGGGCTCCAGGGCGGGCTGCGCACCAAGGCCCTAATCGTGGGTAAGCAGCTGGTGGGCGGAGGGCGCCCCCTGCTGTCCATGGTGTGGTGTTTTGAAGGTGCTTGGCCTGATTCCCTCCTGCAGATGGAGTCTCCAGATTTCAAAACCAGAGCTCGCTGGTTCTCCAGATCTCCAGTCTGGTTAAAAATACCCGAGTTGGGTCAGACGGCCTGGAGTATGAATTCCAGCTCGTCTGTTACTTACGGTGTGATCCCGGATCCATCTGGGCTTAGTTTCAATTTATCTCGTGTGGGGTGTGCACGCCCACACTCCAGGAATTGGATCCAGGGCTTTCAGCATTTTAGGCGAGTGCTCTGATCAGTATCCCCAGCCTTCGTTTTATCATTCTTTGCTGGTTTGAGACAGGGTTTCTCTGTGTCGCCCTGGCTGTCCTGGAACTCACTCTGTGGACCAGGCTGCATTTTGTCATTCTTTTAAAATACGGTTAGTAACTGTGTCCTGGGCTTCGGAGTGTATAGCTCAGTGGTAAGATTGCTGCCTAGAACTGAGTGTGGCGGCTCGTCCCGTCACCCCACCACTCAAGCTGATGTAGAAGTACAGGAACAGCCTGGTCTACACCATGAGTTCCAGGGCAGCTTGGTCTGTACGGATTGAGACCCTCTCTGAAACGAATGAACACACAAGGCTGTGTGCCCTGCTTTAATCCCAGTGCATGAACATTCGATAAGATCACTACCTCCTGAGGTGGTTGGAAGAATCGAGAAAGTGTCGGGTGTTGGTGGCGCACGCCTTTAATCCCAGCACTCAGGAGGCAGAGGCAGGCGGATCTCTGTGAGTTCGAGGCCAGCCTGGTCTACAGAGCTAGTTCCAGGACAGGCTCCAAAACCACAGAGAAACCCTGTCTCGAAAAACCAAAAGAAAAAAAAATCGAGAAAGCTTTTGCAAAGCACCTGGGACTGATATTAAATCACGTCACCTTTGCTTGAGATGATTGCGAGATCAAACAAGATACCCAGCTGACTGCCGACTGTTGTTGCTGGTGACAGGCACACACACCGCACACACTGTGAAGGACTTCTACCTGCCGCTCTTAAGCTCTGGGTTACGTGGGGAGGCTGGTGGCAGAGGCTCTCCCCACTTCGCTGTCTTGATCACTCCTTCTTTTGTAGATGAGTCCTGCCGGCGGTGACCATCTTCCAGTCTGG